GGATAAAATAGTATTTCTAGAAATTGGCAGTGCAAACTATGGAAAAAATTAGCAGAAATGTGTTACACTCAGTGGCAAATTGATTAATGTACTATGTTATATATCATTTTAATGTTTGCATTTTATGTCTTACGAATTTGGAATGATTCAAATATAAAAACTTAATATGTAAATTAATATTCAAATTTCTAAACAGAAAGCATTTATTACCTAAATGTGAAGTGTACAGAGTATAAACTAATTTTAAGTATTAAATACTTGATCTCCATTGCTCTTATTTTTAGCTAGCATTTTCAATTTTTCTCTCTTATTTTTGTCACTCTTAGGTAACAAGTTGCATTTGCATATCTTCCTTGTAATTATGAAGGAATTTAATTAAATGTGTTTCGTTCGCCCTCTTTCGTGACTAGGATACTCTGTGGTTAATTAACATGTAAATTAATTGCGTGCAACATTTGGCTTCATAAATATTTAGTCGTTCGTATATCTAAGCTAGAAATTCCTTCAGATGAATTCTTTTCACTTACGGAAACCTCCATTATTATTTTTATTGGAGAGGAATAAAATAAAAAAATACAAGATGCAAGTTTATTTGGATATTTTTTGTTTGCTTTAAATTAAGAGCTGTTTCGGACATAAATGCATCATATATATTAACCGATGTAATATGATTACATTCAGCATTTGTGTTAGTATGGGGCAGAAAATTGTAGTTAAACGATTACTACTTATTTGATATCTCTTTTAAAAATATTGCAGTTCGATAAATAAAATGTATAAAACAAGTAATATATACTTTGGTGTAGCTGTGATACTTGTTCTGATACTTGAATCAGAATCGTAACAACAATAGCCAAATTCTGCCTTCTCCCTAATACAAAAGTAATAAAAATAGAAGATCAGTCCTTTGCACAATATTTACAGTAATGCTTTAAAATCTCAGAAAAAGGATATGGATGCTTGTCTGCGAATTTTAAGAAATTTCCAGAATATTTTAGGTTAGGTTATTATAGAGTCTTAAAAAATACAAGAAATAATACTTACTTTGTTCGCTTTAACGTATTCAAGATGTTTTGAAACAGAAAATATTAAATATAATAAAAGTGGAATACGAAGTGAAGGTTGATAATTTATTTGTTTTTTCGTTAAAATTGAAAAGTGTATTCACAGTGATAAATTATTCTCAGTTAATGATTCTGCACCACCTTTTACTACTGCGATAACGCGTTAGGTGTTTCCGATTGCTTTCTTCGGATTTTAAAAGCGTCATATTTTATACAGAAGCAGGCGATTTCGAGATGTATGTAGGTATTAGGAAGTAGAAGTTATAAATTTTCTTTCAAGAAATAGTGAAATATAATAGGTGTAAATTTCCTTTCAAGGAAGTCAATTTCGAAGTAACCGTGCTTAAAAGGAGTTTTTATCCCATATATAACTTTAAAGACTGAATTAGTAACTTTAATGGTTGATAAAAGTTTGAACATAAGGAAGCATATATCGTATTCTAAGACATCGCTGTTTCTTCAGGAGATAAGCGTTGTGTTTCTAATTGCATACTATAGAGACAGGTAAGTGAGTTATTTTAACAAATGCCTTAATAAACGTACAACTGCGTAAAAAAGGGGGGAAAGTTCTTAAAATGTTATTTTTATTTTAGTCACATATTTTATTTTTGAAATCGCAAGAATCAAATATCATAAAATTAAAAAATCGTTCGACATCGTTCATTAAAAAATATTTATAGTATATTAAAGAGTATGCAGTATATTAAAAAGCCTCCAATTTTTCGAAACCTCTTGGTATTTCTGACATTAATTTCAAATAAAGTGATCGCCTTCCATTTCAAGAGGGACCACAGACAGTCTAGCGGTAAAGTCGCTGAACACTGGTAGTTCACTCCAGGGTTCGAATTGCGGCGAACGGACTAGTTGCATGGGCGTTTTTCGTGGTTTTCCTCATGTGTAACGTGTATACGAGCTGGTTTTCCTTAGAAAGTTCTTCACGAAGGCATCCCTTCTTAAGCAGATGATCCTGCTTTGCCATACTTAATAATCAAATTCAATCCATTTCATTAGTATTTGGTCAAAGCCTTTAGCAGCCTGCAGGGGCAAGGTATTTTGAAGGCATGAGATGAAAAGAAAGATTCATTTCATCAAGCGGGAAAACGTCTTTAAATGATTGATATTCATATACGTCACTGGATAAATTCCTGAATCTTCCAATAATTCGACTGAGAAATTATGGAATGCTCCGTTTATGATACGATATGATGTTATATAACGTAATTTAAATTTATACAACCAATATAGACGAAAATCAGTCACTCTTCACTCTAATCTGCAATGATACCTTTTTTGTCCTTTTCGTTAACACAAACTCATTGGTGGTATTACTATATAAAATATTACTATAGTAATTTTATGAAACTTTCCACAAATATTCTATGAAATGTTGGACTAAACGTTTAGGTTTACGTATACTGCTCCCCCCCCCGAAAAAAAGGTACAGTTCTATATCTCCCGTTCTACTGCGCCAACTGATGAAATTCAAATTGCGTTTTTCATGTCTCGAAAGCGCGACTTAGGATATATATTAGATTTATATATAGAGTCATTCTAACATAGGTATTTTGACACAAAATCGGACTTCTTCTGAAATAACATGCCATGTTTTTCATATATCAGTTCTACGACTCAAATTATGCCTAAAGATTAAATTCAGTATTAGGTGCGAAATTTATGGAGAATTTCAAAAATGTATTTTGGCTTATTTTCTTCAATTTTCGCCAAGAATAATATACTTGGCGAAATTTTTTATTTATAGCAAATGATTTTCCTTTTTTTTTTTCATTGTAGACGAGCTGGAAGAAAGCCATCGTTCGTTTTTTAAATGATTCTTAACAAAGTGCGTAAATGATATTTTCATAATTATCGCTTATAATTAATACGCCAAATTTCAAAACGCGCCAAAATGTAAATTCACGTATACCTTAGGAAACTTTGAATAAAAAACTCTAATTTCTTTGCAAGCATGCTTAGAAATAATCTCTTTAAGATGACGTTAAAATTTTACATTTTATAATTCAAATGTTTTTTAGAAAAATTTATAAAAATTATTTTAAATACAAATTTCAAAAATAAATGACGAGCTGAAGTTTTGAGAGCTGTCTTTTTTAAAAACTACTCATGAGATTTTTACAAAACTTGGGAGTTTGGCATAATTTGAGACGTAGAATCGAAAAATGGAAAAACATAGGTATGTTATTTCCGAAAATGTTCGATTTTGTGTCAAAATGCCTATGTTCGACAAAAGCTGTATATAAACCCGATATATATATATATATATACTAACTCGCGCTATTGAGTTATGAAAAACGTAATCTGAATTTCTTCAATTGGCCCAGTAAAACAGAAGATACAGAACAGTCCCTTTTTTTCCCCGCAGTCTACATTAAATTTCATACTTCGTGTATTATTTTACCGGATTAAACATACGTAAAATAGCATATAACTTAATAGTAAAATAGTACCTAAATAGTAAAATGATAATTCATTATTTTATTACTCTTAATAAAATGAATTCTTATTTTTGTAGATTATCTCTTGATTATAATGTAATTGTTTCAGATGTGAATTTCATATCTGCTTTCTTGATTAATATATAAAATCTTGTTCTCTTTGGTAATATAAACTATGAGAACTCTATAAAGATTTAAGAAACTTATCTCTACATCTTGAAAATTACCATATAGACGTTTAAAGTGTATAGGATATTTTTTTAACTTAACAGAAGTGCTTGTGCTTACAGAACCAGCCAGCATTTATGGCGTATATAAAAAAGTAAGAGAACTGAAGTTAAAGTAAATTAATTGTAATTCCTTTAAATACTATCTCTTCCTTTGTCATTTGAACACATGCGAACTAGAAATTAGCATTTTGGAGGGAAAATGGAAAGTAAGAAATACAGAAAAGCTAATTAACATAAAATAACAATTTAATGAAACTGAATGTATATTCTACAGATAAAATAGTTCAAAATTATTCTTTAACTAAAATAAATGTGTACTTTAATAAACATAAATTATGTATGCATTTACTGAGACCATGTTTGTGAAATATGCACGGAAAACCTTAAATTAGTGACATCAGTGCATACTGTATTGCATATATTCAGAGATACCTCTCAAGTTTACGCGAAATATGCGTATTATGCATGAGCATGAATAAGAGAAATTTTCAAATGCACATGTTTCTTTTATATACCTAATCTCTTATATACCCGTATATCTAATATCTTTTATAATTTGTTATTTTTCGCGTCTTTTATTATTATTAATAATATTATTATTTATAATGTGACGATTTTTCACGGATATCAAGTTATAGAGAAGCTTGTGTTTGCAGAAAGGAACTACACGAAAGACTGATCAAAGTAAATATTTTCTACGTTTTTAGCGCGTATGGTGAAATTTAGATAAATATTTGCATCCACCTTTATACTTATCTACATTCTTCTATAAAAATATGATTAATGCTTATTTTTAGGATCTTAGAATTTATATTTTATTGCATAATGTGTTTTTTTTAAATAATTTTATGTATAAACCTGTTTGTTCTTTATTTTATCATTAATCCTGGAATTTATGGGAAACATTTATTTATGCTAATAAATCATCCATATCTGGCGCTGAAATTTCTTGAACCGGAAGTAAAATAAAACTAGGTTCTACAGATTTTTAGGGACTCGTGTGGTTAAATGTTTCAATATGTTTCTTAATTACCTATTTCGTACTTGATAATCTAATGCGATTTTTTATTTGTAATGAATACTGTCTTATTATTAAATCGTTTTTAATATATATCGATATAAATCGTTTTTAATAATCTAAATATTCGGCTTCCTTGTGCTGTAAACTTGTTTTTGAAACATTAAGTATTATATTATTAAATGAAATGTTTGTTTGTGTATTGTATAAAACTGCATGGTTTCTTTATTTACAGCGGGACCAAAGGTAGCCAGTTTTGCATTTAAAGATAACCTCCATGAAGGAATGTTGACTGCTGTAACTTGCATAGTTGATGCTGGAGATGGCCCGCTCACAACCCGGTGGTTAAAAGATGGTCAAATTCTAATGGAAGAAGACTTAGATGCTGCAGTATTGTATGCGCAAGAAGGCTACGTGTCCACACTCACTATTAAAGCTCTGGAATACAAGCATAATGGCAACTACACATGTGCTGCAACGAATGACGTAGCAACAGGTTCTTACAGCGCAGTTTTAACAGTTAAAGGTAAGCAAAAAGTATATTATATGTAAATTGCATTTATGAACTTGTAAGGTGAGAGTTCAAAAAATAATTAATATCGATTTTAAATAAATATAAGTTGTATTATCTAATTTTAGTTAGATTTCGACTACTTATGTTCCAAGGGCGGTTTCAGTACTTGGACGTTTAGATTTATTCTGATAGGGAAAAATTATGCTCTTATTTTAATAAAAAATAAGCAATTAAAAGTACTTAATTTAAGAATACTATCACAACTTTATTTATTAAATATCACGTTATTCGCGCTTAAAGCATAAAATTCAACTCAATAGTAATATGACAGAATGTTTAAAAGAGCATGTCTTTTGAATTTCCGACACACAATCTCGCGCGCAGGAGATAAAAATGTTTTATTTTTTGTACAGTGTTGCCATTGCTTGCTTTGAAAACGGTGAAGTAAACTCATAAATGCTTTACAAAATATGAAATAAATAATAAAACAAATGCTCATAGTCTTCCAGTTGCCCATATTCGGGTGGAGACGTACGTTATTGAAAATTTGACGGCTCTAGATACCGTTGTTTTAGCACAATGCGAGAAATATGCATACATTTATGCACATTCTTCATTATTTAATTTCTTTAAATATAATACAGGGTGATAATATTTGTTGATAGCAATTTAAAAATGATTCAGACGTTTAAAGGTTTCCTTGCAAAATGCGCAAACGAAGTTAATAGCCCCCCTGTGCAAATTGCCCGTTTGGGCTAAAAAGAACTTAGCAGAAGTAACAGCAGACTGCGAGCTCAGAAAAGAAAGAGCGTAAGAAAAATTTACAAACCCCTTTGGGCGACCGCTAAAATCTGAAACCTTTTACAATTTTCTTCAATTTTTTTTTCCGGGGGGGGCGACTTTCGTTTTACTATTTAAGATCCTTTTGTTCAATTTTATTGGATTCGACGATATTTTAAGAACATTTTCAGCAAAATTTTACGTCATCAAAATCCAATCTCTGCTCACACCCTTTATGCATCAAGCAATTATCTTTTTTTTAAGGGGATTCATACACCTTAAAACCCATACGATCTTCGAATATCTGACTGTTGCAAGAATTGGGATAACTTATTTATTTTAAAAGCAACTACTTCCAACTTTTTACAGCTGACTACATAATATAGCTGCTATCTGAAATAGTAATCAGAAAGTTTATGTTGCCACAAATATTTTTATAATTTAATCCGCTTTGTGAAAAAGGTTTTCGCCAAGTTTCCACCTTGCGCGCACAGGTTAAAACATTCTGTTGCATAATTTAATTCCGTATTTAATATATAGCTTTTACAACATTTGGAAACTACTGTGAACCTAAAATTCTAAGAATTTCATATTAAATTTTTATTTTATTCGGAGTTGAGTTTATAAAATGTATTTTATTAAAAAAAACTTGTAATGGTTTCGTGCATAAATTTTTTAACACTAAAATATTCATGAAATTTTTGTTCAGCTAGTAAATAGTGACCATATAAAGAATTCCATTAAATTTCAAGTATGCACCATTAGCCATTTTTAAAATATCATGAGCGCAAGGTGGAAACATGACGAAAACTTTTGTCACAAATCAGATTAAATTACAAAAATATTTGTGGTAACACAAACTTTCTGATTTCTAGTTTCTAAAGCAGCTATATTATGTAGTCAGCTGTAAAAGGTTGGAAGTAATTGCTTTTAAAATAAATAAAATATCTCAATTCTTGCAACAGTCATATATTCGAAGATCATAAGGGGTTTAAGGTGTATTAGCCCCCTTAAGCTAAGGGAAGATAATCTTTCACAAAATTTGCCATTAATATCCAGTTTGAAAATTTCACAATTTTAAAAGTTTGACTTGCGCGAATTTTGCATCAACCAGTATAGCGCAGTTCTTGAGAACTGAAACTAAATTCAGTGAAAAATAATTCAATCGTTACTATCCTTAGGTTACAAATATAAAGGGTTTAGCCTTCCTTTCAATAATAAAAAATATGATCATAAATTTAGAAAGCCATTTAAGTACACTTTGACTTTTCTAAAAGAAAGCAACTTTAATATTATATCTTCAGGCTAATTTAACTAAGAGGATATTAAAAGGCATGTTAAAAATAGACGCCGCAAGGATTATAAAGTGCATTACATGAAAACAAATAAAGTACCTATTTTCAAAGAAAATTTACTGTGCTTATCTCCTTAAGTAGATGTTTTCATTTTATTTATATTATAAAGAATATGTTAATCAGCTTAGGAAAAATCGGTTATTATATGCTGGTACGTTAAATTGATTGAAATATTATAACAGAGCAATTCTGATTTTAAATTACTACATAATTTGAGAGAAAAAGTTTCTGTTATATATTGCTCTATGCATTTTATTAAATTTATTACTATTAATGTTATGTATTTAAATCTTTGAAGTAATGTTCATTTAAATATAAATGTGTACAGCATATTAGTATTTACCGATATTCGAAACCTTATGCAGCTGTAAATTATATTCCATTGAGTTTTATTACAGAGGAAAACAATGTAAATTATATTTGTATTCAGCTGTAACGCCGAGAATGTGTTGATTGAAATTTATCATTATTTAATGCAGTTGCGTCAAGCAAACAAATATTATTATTTCTTAAATGCAAAATGGAATATTTTCAACAATAAAGTTGCGAAATTATTTCAAAGTGCTACAAAATTTCCACCAAAATACGTAAACTAGTTTTTTGGGGTGCCCAAGAATTATTGAGAAAAATAAAGAATTAATAATAAAATAATTCTTTACTTTATTAATTCAAATGGCTATAATTTTAAATATTGAAAACATGCTAATAAAGAAAATCTGAGTTCATAAACTACAAATGTAATTGTGAGAGTCAGATTGTTTTTTGCAATAAGGAAAATAATCAATCTCATGTATTTATAAATATATTTTCAACATGTACTTTATGCTTATACAAGGGCGTTTGCTGTAAACCTTTAAGCTGTGCTCTGTATTAAGTGCTCATATTGAAAACGTATTATTTAAAAGAGATTATGAACTACAGAATTCAATTTGCAAAAATGTTCTAATCCTACATTAAAGAAATTTTTAGATACAAGGAAAAAATGTCCTCTTTATAAGAATTGGTTTTGCTATATTTTATTAATTAGTTAAATTTTAAAATTATTTTTCAGAAACAAAGCATTTAATATTCATTCTATACTGAGTCTATACCATTAAATTTTATCAGATTTAATAAACATGTGCGATGTGAAATAAGGTAAGATAATGAAATTCACTCAAGAACTGTCATTTCACTCAAGAACTGTCGGTTTTTTAAACGATTTCAGAAGCTAGTTCCATAAATTTTACAATGCATTTGTCCACGCTGCCGTTATTATTTTACTAATTACTAGTTCATTTGTTCATGGATTTTGTGTCCATGGGCCTTAATTGATGAAGCAGTAATAGTGAAGAGATTCAAGAAAAACTGGGATACCTGATGCTCTTGACGGTTCTGAAGATTAGTTCACCTATAGGAAGCTAAACTGAACTGCGGCAAAGGAGACGAATTGATAGCTGTAACAGATGACGTTTGAATGATTTAAGACTTCAGAAAAAACAATGGATAACAATGAGAGCGGACGAAATTGAAGATACAGAGAGGTAGAAATGAAGATATCTTAAAAGTTATTTAAATGTTAATAGTAATGTGAATTCTTATCGGAATGTAGATTTCTCTTAAAGAAATGACATTTTGATAGTTAACGATAGTTTTATTCATGAATACTTTTCATTTATTGTTTTCCTACCTTAATCATGTCCTCCGGATATTAAGTTCTTCGCATAATTTTCCTTTCTCGATTTTCTTACTGTAAAATTAGTTAAGAAAATAAACAAATAAATAAATAATATTTAAATTTAAAACAATACAAAAATTTTAAATCTGAAAGTTTTCAGATTTTATATATTATTATTATAACGGATGTTTTTTAACATGTTAGGTGTTAGCTTTATTTATTAAATATCATACTCTTCGCACTCAAACCATAAAATGAAATTAAATAGCAATATCACAAACTATTTAAAACTAGCATATCTTTAGAATTTCAGATACACAGTCCCGCGCGGTGGATATAAAACTTTTTTTTTTTTTTTTTTTTACTATTTTGCTATTGCTCAATCATTAAGTTTGTTAATCAAAATTTCGCTAAAGGTTTACAAAATATGAAATAGATAATAAAACAAGTTCCAAATTAGAAGCCCATATTCGAGTGAAGCACTAGGTTATTCAAAATTTGATGCCTCTAGATGCCGTTGCTTTTCACAGTGAGAGAAACATACATACATCCATGCAGATTCATCATTATTTAATTTCTTTAAATATAATACAGGATTCTAATATTTGGTGGCAACAGTTTGAAAATTGAAACGCCGTTTATAGTGAAGCAACGCAAAATGCCAAAACGAAATTAGTAGCCCTTCTGTGTTAACGTCCTTTGGGCTGAATAAAAGGTTAAATTTGCTAGGAAATACGCTATTCAATTATATCACTAAAAGTTTAATTTCCCTCACATGTAAGTAATATAAAGTGCACTCTGTAATTTTTAAACATATTTTAACGAGTCTTATAATTTTTTTACCATTAACTGTTTAACGTATGTGCTAAAATATATAAGCTTCGATAGCACTTTAGGAATTGCGCATTAAATTGCAGTAACTTAAAATGCACAAATGGCGAAAGCTATCAGTGGTTCTGATAGAAATGTCAATTTCGTATGCTTTCACTCCGATATTTTTTATAGTCCCACCAAAATGCACAATTTTATACGAAATACCTCTGTCATAATACCTTTTGAAATAGATATCACATCGTCTGCTTCTGAAAAAGAAAATAAATCGTCGGGGAATAACTCATTTCGATATTTGATATATTTCTAAGGCGGCTTTAGTTGTCGTGAAAATAGATTTTTCTCTTCCTCTCCAATTTCAAAAACATATGTTTCCAAACAGACTGGTA